ACCTTCAGAATTAAGAAATAGCAAAACAAGTAAGCATTACACAAAGATTAACGAAGAGAGCACACTTTCAACCAAGCCAATGCCGTTTAAGGTCCCCTTAAACCCCAACCATTATAGGGTTCCTTCTAGGGTCCTTTTTACCCTAATGCCGAAACCCTATCCGCAAAACCGCAATCATTAGGTTCCTTCTATTAGGTCGTTCTTTTTAGGGGTGCATAAAGGCTAAAACCCAAAGCCCGAAACTCTAAACCCTTGTGACAACCCTAAACCCGGAAGCTTAATCCCGAAACCCTGAACCCTAAACCCGAAACCCAAAGTTCTGAACCCTAAACCTAAACCTGGAAGCCTACGTAACCCGAAAACCGAAACCCTGAATCCGAAACCCCAAGTTCTGAACCCTAAAAGCCCGAACCCCGAACCCTCGACCATGAACCGTAAACCCCTAAAACTGGTGAAAGCCTTCCACAACATGGGGTTGCTAAGGTTGAGGATATACATCCCGCATTCCCCATAGTAAGGAACATACCAGAATTCCCATAGTTTAGGGCCATTAAGGTAATGCAGGATTTGTATCTTCAACCGTACCGACGTTAACTGCAAGGTGGACCCCAGAGACTCCAAAACCCCATGATTCAGGAACATACCGTAAATCATACTGGGATCCCTAATATGATTTAAGGTATATTCCTTGATTAAGGGATTTGGGGAGGTCTGGGACAAAGGTGCTCAACAAAAAAGCGAAAAAAAGCTAAACTCCAATAGCAACCCTAAACCCTAAATCCTCAAGGATCCAAGCCGGACTGGAGATGCCCGCTTTGGTGGAGGCGGTGAAGATCCTCTACGCCCCCTCGCCGCACAGAAGACCTTTCTCCATGTCGTTTTGAGGTTTTTGGGCTTTAGGCTTCATGTATAATCCGGGTTTTGGGGATTTAGGGTGGGGTGGCGGGTGGATTGATATGTGTTGCTGTGTTTTGGGGGTCTGGGTAGGTTTTCCTTCCAAAAGGTTGCATACATGTTTGTTGTGCTGGTTGTTTTTTGGGGTTTAGGTTTGTGTCAAAGGTGGTTTGGGTTGTTTATTATTGTAGTGATTCGTTTTTTCGCAGTTCTGGTTTAGAGAATTTAGACGTGCTTCTGAATATACCAGTTGTTGTTCTTCTGTTCCCGCAGCAGTAAGGGTGGTCCTTCGTTCCCGCTCCACGTTGGCACAGGTTTCGTGTCAATGCTTGGGTTGTGCGAAAGTTCATAGTGGCTTTATTCGGTTTTGAGAGCGCTGTGTAAGCGCCTTAGCTTAGGATGCCATAATATGGGTCCACGGTTTCTGGTGAAGAGTCCTGCAATTTGGGAGGCGTGGGTGCAATTTAATGAATTTGCCAGGTTCCGGATACATGCAAGACGCGGGACTTTGTCGGTACCTGACACCAGGGAAATTACTGCATGTCACTACCGTGACCACAAACCCCAGATTCTAAACCACTGACCCCTCAGACATCACGTCAAGGAGAAAGCTTCTAGAAGCCAACTACGGTTCTGACTTCCTAGAGTCTTAGAGTCGCTGAAATGTTTCAGACCAAAGCCTCAACCTGAAACCTATCTTAAGCTACCATAACCTACTTTTTCGTAGGTTCTTACTTAAGTTTAAACCCTAATACAGAATTTATAGGGACCCTACCGAAAAGTAGGCTTTGGTAGTTCCAGGTATGAGTTCAACTTATAGCACACTGGAGGTTCTCGGTGCAGAGCATGCAGACGTCCCTGGACAGAGAGGGTTTAATTAAGGTTTGGGGTTGAGGAGATTAGGGTTGATGGGGTGTAGGTGTACGACTTTTCCCCTGTCCAAAGAAGGCTTGCTCCTAACAAATCCTGAATTGCATGATGATATGACCGTCTCCACTGTTCTGGAGATTGCGGAAACGGTGTGGCCGAAGCAGCAGGCCAGAATTTGCGATAAGTTCACCAGGGAGATGTCGAGTAGCGGATGTGCTGCTCAAACTCCGCAACATCCTGAAGGGGAGGCAAACCAGCGAGGATGAGGATGTCGGCAATGTCGATGCTAACCGAAGGGCTGTGGACCTGCATCCGTGCAGCCAAGTCGGGTTATGCCGTGGCGATGCAATGGGCCAAGCTCCGGGTTTGCACGACCACCACTACGTCTTTGCAGCAAGCAGTGCGGTGGCGCGCTGCTCTGACAAAGTTGAAGAGCACGGCAGATCGGCGCATGGGCACCGGAGACTGCCGCCCTCTGACTCTTGGCATGTTGTGGGAGCCTTTTGCCAGGGATTAGCCTTCAGGTGCTTGGTGGCGTGCTTGAAAGAGACATGCAGCTGGACTTTGATCTACATTCAAGTGAATTGGAACTCCTAGACCCTAAACCCTAAACCGAATTGGAACGAACAGACTTGGGAAATACATTGCCGCACCGCGAGAACTCCGAACACCCCTTCCTTAGCCCCAAAATTCCTACCTTCTTAGGCTTCCTTATCATGATGTCCTTATATGAGTCCTTGAAACGGTAGGTTGTTCAAGGTCCAGGTTCACATCTGTATTATATGAATACACGTTGAACATCGGCAACAAAAGTCACACTTCAGCCAGGAATCAACAACAAGTAACCCGATAGATGGATGGATAGCTAGACAGCCAGATACATGGAAGCCAACCTTTAAACCCTGGCGCACTTGAACCCGAAGCCCCTAAACCTCTGAGCCCCAAAACGAATCTATACCTCGATCCTTAAATAGGCCGCATTCGACCGTTATCAAGTCCTTCTGCGGGCTGCTAATGCTAAACGGCTTGTAGCCAAACAGGACGCTGAATGAAAGGAGCATCCTTAAACGGAGCCCTAAGCCATAAAACCCGGCAACCTAGACCCCAGAACCGAACTATTTTTAAACCTAAAGCATCCTCAAGAACGCCTTTCGAACTAAACCCTAAACCTTGAACCGAGGCTTGTTTGGATTCGAAGAGCACGGTGCAGGGCGACACGCAGGTGGGGCGAGATTTAAGGGCTTTGGTGTCAGGGTTTCAGGGTTCGGGAAATACGTTTATAATATTTATAGGCGCCTTAATAATTAGAATAGGGCTTTGGGGCCCATTATACTATATAACTATAGTAAGGAACCACCAAAATAGCAGAGGTAATTATATATATATATATATATATATTAAGGCCGCTATATTAGACGGAGTTCCGGATCTTGGGGTTAGGACGTGTTTTGAGTGTCCTTGTGCAGGTTGGACCGTTCGGAATCCACTGCCCACAAGCATCCTTGCCAAAAGAGAGCCTCCCTATGGGACAGGTCTGATTTGAGATTAGTGCTCAGGGTGCATGCAATTTCCGAAGGGATAAGCTCAGTTGATCAAACCCCTAAGCCTAAACCGCGTGGAAGCCCAGCTACCTGTAATATAGGGGCCTAAACAATTACCTCTAATATTCTGGGTTCCTTATTATTACAAGTATAGTAGACTGGGCCTCAAAACCCTGTTCGAACTATTAAGGCCCGTATATTAGCTACTTGCACATCCTTAAACTCCCTAAACACTAAGATTCCCTGTGCCCGAATAGTATATCATGGTTGTCAAAATTATGGTCCTTTTTTGGGTCCCTAATATAATACGGCGCCTAGTATTTAGGAAACCCCAAAAAGGGCCCGAATTTTGACAACTATCCATTTACTTTGGCTCCTCAAGCCCTGAACCTTAAACTCCTAAACCCTGATCCCTAAAACCCCCGAAACCCCTAGGAGACCATAAAAGGTCCGGGCAGCTCCTGAAGGACTTAAACCCTAAAGCCCTAAACCGTATAACCCAAAGCCCCAAACCCTATAAAACCCGAACGTAGACCGAGACCCGAAGAGCCCTCAAAGGTTTGGGCAGCTCCTGAAGGATGTCTTGGCCTCACGGATGCCATGGCCTCCACCTGCACAGCCTCTGGGGCTAAACATGGCTTGGGGCCTTCGAAGCTGAGGAGTTTGAGAATTTTGTTGAGGATTAGGGGTTTTGGTAGGTGGCTTTAGGGTTTGGGGTTTGTAGGGTTTGGGGAATTTGAGGGCTTAAGGGTTTGGGAATTAGGGTGTGGGGTTCAGGCGGGTTTAGGATCGTTAGTGTGTATCATGGTTTTTAGGGGCTGGGGTATGGAGTTCAGGGAGCTGAGGTCGTTGAGCAGGTCGTCTCATGCACAAGGCTTGCTTCAGTTTGTGTTTTACTTTTGTTTTAGGTGGATTCAGAGGGGCTTTTTTAGGAGGTCCGAGAAGAGTTTTCAAAGGCCAGAAGGGCCTTTGAAGTCTCATTCACAGGTTTCAAAGGCCTGAAAGGTTGATAATACGTATCAGGGTCTTTGGAGGGGCTTTTCTGGAAACGGGTTTTGGGGTTTTAGAGTCGTCGAGTCAAGGTTCCGAAGTTCGGGGGGTGTTAGGGTTTAGGGGTTAAGGGTTTAGGCCCCTAGGCCTTTTCGTCTTAACCGGTTCTCTGACCTCGAGCCTCCCTTTGGAAAGTTCCCCAAAGCCTAAACATCGCAAAGACCTTGGCCTTCTACAGCACTTAAAAAGAGACTACTTAAAGCCCAAAGTATGTTCTATATGAACCCTTAACCCCTTAAACCCTAAACCCCTAAGAGCCTCGACATAAACATACAGCCCAGCCGCCCGTAGCCCGATTCTAAATAGTCACCCCCCAGAGTTGGAACTTGTGAATGGGACTGTGGTTGTGGTTTGGGGCCCAGGGTAGTTTAGGGCAGCCTCTTGGCAGTAGGAGGAGGAGTGCCAATATTGGAACTTTTTTCCCTAAACCCCAAGCCCCAAATGGTACATAGTATATACGGACCCGTGGGGAAGTCTACAAGGCTTCAATGTCAACTTGTGGATTCAGGGTCTCGAAGGGTTCGCAGGTTTTGGGGCTTAGGGTTTGCTCTGTTGGAAATCCAGCACGGCTGCTCGCGTCGTAGATTTTAGGTTCAAAGTGGTAATGGTGCTGCAACAGCGCAGGACTGGCCGTAGACCACTGCCATGAAGGCCGTGATCTTCCTATGGTTGGTGGCGTCTGCTGGACACGGAATGATTTACCAGGACAACTCCGTTACATTTGCGGCAGAACATAGCGGAAAGTTACCAAACATGTTGACTCTGAGTGGTGTGGCATTCACGATCCGTTCGTTTCGCATAACCAAAGGCCAGGATCCAGACGGCAACATCGAAGTGGGCCAAAAGCAGGCGTTTGCGGGCTCCAACGGCGACTTTGTCTTTCGGATCGGGCACAACAGGAGCAAAGAAGTCGCCACTTGGTTCAGCTACGAATTGGGTCGGGCTGACAGGTGCACCTTCTTCCATTACCCAGGCCGCCTCTACTTCGCATTCAAAGGCGACTTGGAAGTGCGAGTGACTCGATCTCCGACCTCCCAGACCCACCACCTGATCAAGGATGTGCTGATCGCGCAAGGCCACGCTGGATTGAGAAACAACTGGTGGTTTGGAGGCAAAACGTGTTACAGGACCGATGACGACGATGGCGATGACCTTCTTCGTGGTCATCGCGTTTATTGCGAAAGTGAGGAAGACGCTGATGGCAAAGTGGCCTACGTCCGTTTCCAGCGCGGGGGGTTTGACCCATATCACAGAATTCGTGTCCAAAAAGTTGTGTTTCAGCACAAGAAGCCGAGACGTGGCAACCAGACCTTTCTTGCGGCGTTGCCCGACACAAAGAACACAGGCCTTCCAGTGCACGGCAATGTTGCGCCAAAGGGCAGCATGACTCTGCCAGTGGAGCGGTGACACCCGGCAACCAGACCACACAAACACTATTTCCATAGTGCAAAACGTTATCTACTATTGGTCGGCGTTGCAGAACAGCCATTGCCGATATCGTTTTTTAGTTGCTGTAGCTGGGACACCATGGATTGATCTGTACAGCGGCATATTGTCCTGTGCCAGAAGCACCAAACAGTTTTTAAACAAATTGCAACCTGAAAACGAGCACGGCTATTGTCATGCGACGTCCACGAAAGTAGCCGGGACCCTGTTAAACGTTGTGCCAGTTTGCACGGAGGCATGCCTCTGGCTGCCCGCTGCCGCTTGCTCATCCTGCTGGCAGAGGCTGCCCGCAGCTCAGTGTTTGAGGGGTTCGGCGCTTTGGGGCTTTAGGGTAGGTTAAACTTTAGGGCCTTTAGGGTCTTCAACCAGGCTGTAGGGGTTTAGGGTTTAAGGGCAAAGAAAAAAGGTTGGTTGAATTTGAACATGAACAGGCCATGACTCCCTACACTATACTTGGATTCTTCATGTACGGGACCAATCCGTCTCCCTCCGCCCGGAAGCGCGTGAGGGTGAATCCGGGGTCTGCCGACCGGATTACGTGGCAATCCCCAAACCCTAAACCCCAAAGGGTTTTAGTGCGGTTAAGGGTGTCGGAACTGGTTAATGCAAGTTCCAAAAGCCCTTTGATTTCTGTAGAGCAGCTGTGTTTTTAGGTTTCCAGATTGTAGCTAGAGTCGAATGTAACCCCGAAACTTTTTTCTCATTTCTCAGGCCCTCTACAACTTAGTAGCTGAGCTGGTCATCTTCGACTTTTTGGGGTCTGTAAAGCCTTACTACAATGAAGAAGGCGGAACCGCAACTGAATCATTAAGGCCGAAGCACTCCTACTGTTTTAAATAGAAAGATTGACTTTCGTGACCGGGGACCTCAGGTTGTTTGAGCAATTCCCTACTCAGTATCAGTCCCCACTTCTAAAATCAGGAGACGTAATGCCGAGGTTAACAGCAAAATCAAGAACACAAAACCTGGAACCTTTCAAACTTAGCTTTTTGGGGTTCCTGCTTATGAGTTCCTTGTATAACCATGCCCTAAACCCTAACCGTACGGTGCGCATTAAGACACCTTTCGAAAGCCGACGAACTAAACGTAAAACGCTGGAAAGCCTCTGCTGTTTCAGAATGAGCACTTTAGGAACTTTAAGGCTTAGGGTTTGGGGTTGAAGAAACAGTGCTGAAGCCCTAAACCCTCACTCAGACCCCAAACCCTAAAGAACCCTCGTGCAACCACTGCGCAACTTTATTCAACCTTATTCGATAGAACAGCTTTTAATTTTCGCCAAGCCCTGAACAAAAGAATCTATTAATACCATACCTAGCAAGCCCTATGAAGTAGACGCCATGCGCAACTGTATTTGTGTGCCATTCTTCGAACTCCAAAAAGCTCAAACCCTTATTGAAGCCTTATTGCTATACCTAGAGAGCCGCTTCCGAAGCTTAAGCTAGGCTCAGGATAGCTCAGCACCGGACGTCAGCAGTTACACCGGCTGAAGATACTCGTAAATTCGGTGTGACAATCATAGCGGCAGTCCCATAGTCCAACCAAGTGCCCTGCAATGCGGGCTTCGTCCTTGCCAAGTAGGAGGGAAAAATACCTAGAAGACGCTACCTAGGGTCTCCATTGTAGTTCAATTGCTTGTGTTAGCTTATGGAGGATTTCAAGCAAACAAAAACTGCTTATGCAAGAACCCGGAACTCCAAGGGCTTACATGGTCGGGCTAGCGAAATTTAGCAATATGGGTTGTTACAGGTATTGGGGCTAATGCCCAGTAATCAGATAATTACGTGGGTCTAGGATGGTAGTGATGTAGGTTGATATTTGGCGAAGTATATGAGGATTGGCCGCTTGTACCTGCAGGGTTAAGGTTATTGGGGGTTAGACTTCGCAGCAGGGTCGGCAACCTTTTTGGAATATTGCAGTTGCTACATAATCCCAAAGGTCAGCCTGTAGTTCGCCTAGGCTACTCGACGGCTGAGACATTTGGGGGTTGAGAGGCCTGGTGGTTTCGGGCCAGAAGGGTCTGGGTCTGGGGAAACGGAGGATAAGATTTGCCCCAGACCTCGAAGTCTACAACCCGAAGGCTCCAGACCGTACGCCCTATTCCCCTATTTCTTTTGTTTTGGGAGTCGATCTGATGTTGGTATTCCAGAGGTTTTTGGCTGTCCGTTCAAGGGGATCTTGGGTAACTTCGTATGAATCCGACTCATGAGGAAAGTGGCTTCGTGGAAGGTGTTTGAGGGCTGGCCACGGTTACGTTAAGTAGCCCGAGTCAACAGCGTCCGAATGCTGCGACGATGCCCCAAGGATGAAAGACTAGGGTTTGCAATTGGTTTTCAGGAGATCAACTCCAGAACAGATAAGGGGGACATTGCTTTCGATGGAAGATTTCAAGAGAAAAACATGAAACAGACATTCTTTGCGAATCAAAACTTCGACCCGAGCATCAACAGGAAAGGTGAAGGGCACACCCGCTTTCTGGGCCCTTCCATATAGCTAGCGGTAGCACATTTCTTTTCCAGTGGCTTGGACAGACTTTCAGCTCCCCTCATCCCTTCATCTTATCTAACCTCGGTGGCCGTTTCGGAGATTTTTAGTTTTTTGGTGTTTTGTGGGGTTCATTGCATGTAGCCGCAACAGCAGCCTTCAGGCTCCAGGGATCCTGTCGGGGATGCACGGACATCCCTCACCCTTACAAGATGTCTGTGGTGAGTGCAGGGTTGAGGCGTTTGTTTGGGAAAAGGGCTGGGTGAGCGTGTTTAACTGCCAACGTCCAAGTAGCACTACAGCAGTTAACGATGAAGCATGAAGGTAAAGTAAAGCTGATACGGGACAGTGGAGATGGTGATGATGTGCTTGCGGACTGCACGAGGTTCAAGCAGATTCAAGCAGTAGATGAGCTCACTGAATTTCGCTTCGATTTGAAATGGCGGCGCGCTGTACATTCATAGCGCTTCTGCAGGTCATGAGCCTCCAGCCGCGAACAGTGCCCCTAAGCCAATTTTAGCCTGACACCCTACCGTCGAAAGCCTTCCGATCATCCCTACCACCTGAAGCCAGCCTCCGATTCGAACTTGTTTCTTTCAGATTCCATGACTCAGGATAAAAGCCATCTCGTCGATTAAAGAACTCCGTGTTAGTTGTGCCTGCAAGTAAAGCCACTGTTGCAAAACCCTGTAGTCCAAACCCTGTCCCCTATTCCCTAAACCCTAAATCCTAAGCCCTAAACCCTACATCCTAAGCCCCTGTGGTGGTGGTGGCGGTGGTGGTGATGGTTTTGGCGCTTTAGGGTTGAAGGGGAGATTCTTGACAGAGCGTGCCTGCAGGAGAGTTGTCTGCCTGTGAAAACTCGTAGGCAGGACACTTGAATGCGCAGCTGCATGTCGTCCGGATTGGCATGTGGCCCAATCAATATTTCAGCTCCTCTTTGTGGGGCGCCGCCATGCTCTTAAATGTTTCTCCCTCCCGTCCCTCCCTGGGGAATGGCTCGGTTTCTGCGAAGCCAGTGACTTTTGAAGCCAGCACACTCTTGCTGTAAAGTGCATCGTTGCTCTACCCTCCAGTGGCCAGCTGTCAAAACGAGCTGTTCTTTCCTGGGGCCCCTTCGGCAAGTTCATGTGAGCGTCATGCTCAAGAATTTCGGTTTTAGGATTTTAGGCTTTCGGATTCTAGGATATACGGGGTTCAAGGATTTAGGTGTTGGGGGTGTAATTTTTACGGGTGCTCAAAGCCTTGGCGGGTGTTTTTTTGGGGGCTTTTGGGTGCAAGGAAGGAGTCGGAACACCAGTAGTAGGGTTCCTTATAGGATTTCTTACTCTCATGACTATGTTACAACAAAAAGATATGCTTAGTATGGCCATGTTGTAGTAACAAAAAGATGCTTCATTATGAATACGAATGATCACAGTAGAATGTTCAAGATAGTTGCCCTGATCGAATGTTCAGACCCCTACACATCTTACTGTGTGGGATTGCCTGGAGGACACCGTCGTGGAGGATCCGTAGGCGCGGTTCAGACTATCTGAGGTTTACTTTCGCTATTCTGAAGTTTTGTTCTTACGCTATCTCAAACGTTCTCGAAGGTTGTTTTCCTTCATTTTTGTAGGACTGGCTGCTCTTTTGCGGCTTCGAGGTGCATGTCGTGGTGTTACAGGCTTTGGGGCTTGGAGGTTATGGAGGTTTGAGGTTCCTGGTTTGTTGTGTCCGTGTATGGCGAACAGTCAGCGACGACGCAACATCCTGCGCGCCGTACTTCCCTGGTATGGCACACCATGGATAAGGTGACAGTACCATCATTTCACGCTTAATTAGGTTTTCAGTATAAAGGGTTTATGAATGTCTATCATGATTGGCCTGTCGAGTTTATGGGGTTCCGTCAAGCGCCGTTGCCGCGCTGATTCCTGCAGAACCATTGGAGCCTTTCTTGCACTGGCTGGATTTTTTGTACATCATCGCCCCGACACCTTACACACTTCATCAACGCCGCCAGGCTTGAACATCAAACCGCTAAACCCTACGCCCCGAACCCGTACATCATACACCCTCTATATACAGGCCAACCTCAACACTCTAACTCTAAACACAAGACAGTGAGAGCGTAAACCCAAGACAGTGGTCCTACCCCTAGACCCCCCAACTACCCTCTAATATACCCCAAATACTCACTACTAAGGGCCATAAGGACTCAATTCGGGCCCTTGGGGGGTCCTGGCCTATAGACCCCCCGTCTACCATCAGTGCGGCTGTCACAGCTGTAGGATGGCCTCAGGATTGTGGAAGCAGCCGAAAACGTCCTGGGGCGCTCCCTCTGAGGGCCGCGTTGTCATCTAGGATTTAGTTGTCCTGATGGCCAGGGTCCTTGTGTTTCTGATAGCAAGGATCCTAGTATTTCATGCGAAGATTGAGGTATGTATGTATGTATGTATCTATGTTGTCACATATGTAAATAAATAAATAAATAAATAAAT